GCCTGTAATACGATTCTGATGCTAACTACCTGGAGCTAGCACGCGCTCTGGATGTCTAAGGGCACAGTCCCCAGCAAGATCTGCACTTGCCTCAGACGCCAGTGGCAATTTTGGGGGCTTCTGGGTGACCTGTACTTTTTTTTTTTTTTTTTGAGAGGTTTTCGCTATAGGGCGCGTGTGCTCGCCAGACAGACAGAGAGAGACATTGAGACAGAAAGCGAGAAATCACCCCCAGGGGGGATGGTCACGCCGCAATCCCTTCTCCTCCATTCTCCTCTTGGGATCTTGGGCACGCATGCACACGGGCCCGGCGTGAGTTTTAAGCCACCGGGTCCAGGACGCGAACCGCGGTTGACTATGTGGGAGTCCAGCGACATAGCCATTACGCTAACTGCTGGTTCCCAAGATGACCTGTACTTCTGACCAACCAGTCACAAATTCAGGGATTCTTGCAAGCCACCACCACCCCCCGCCCCCGGTTTGATCATTTGTTATAATGACTCACAGAACTCAGGAAAACACTATACTTAAAATTGGCTTTATTATAAAGGATACAAATCAGAAGCAGCCGAATGAAAAGAAACATGAAGTCTTTGGGAGTGTCCCAAACACAAATCTGTCCTGTGCCCACAGAAACGGGGTACATCACCCTCCCAGCACATCCCTGTGCTTACCACCAGAAAGCTGACCACAGCCTGGGTCCGGAGTTCTTACTAGTTCCATTATATAAGCATGACTGACTGAAACCATAAACCGTGTAGTTGAACTCCAGTTCTAGCCTCCCTCTCCCCCTCCCTAGAGGTTAGTCTGATATCACCCAGCTCCAAGTCCCAACCCTTCAATCACTGTTTGGTTTTTCTGGCCTGGTCAGCCTCCGAGCTAAGTCAAATCATAGCATAAACCAAGGTGTGATCTGAGATCAAATCTCAGGGCCAGTTCCTTGGTCAGGTGGTGAAGGCAGCCAGATCCCACATGGCCAATGGCATGGTTTGAGCCCAGGATCTGGCGGCTTAAGAAATGTGCCATACACAGGGCCAGCAGGTGGTGTAGCGGGGAAGGTGCTGGACTCCCACATGGCCAACTGAGGCTCGAGTCTCAGACCTGGCAGCTTGAACTTCACACCAGGCATGTGTGTGCACATGCCCAAGATCCCAGGAGGAGAATGGAGAAGGGACTGCAGCGTGACTATCCGCCCTGGGAGGTGATTTCTCACCACCACTACTCCCCCAAAAAAAGAGGCTAGAGAGAGAGAGGGAGATCAAATCTCAATATAAACTTGGGAATGCTCTAAAGTCAATCTCAGTATAAACTCAAGTGTGTTTTGAGGGGCCACCAATGAAGACCCTCCTATCCCTTGGGGAACTCCAAGGATTTGGAATCTCCAGAGATTTAGTCTCCCCCTTGGTACTGAGGTAGGATGAAGGCTGGTCAAATTCTTTATTACACCATAAAGGATTGGGAGTGGGATTAGACTAAAAAGCTTATGATTTTGAAAGCTGGAGATGGCCTGTGTCCAGAAGTCCATGAGCGGACCATGTTTCTCACCAAGGTGGTCCAAGACATGCTCTCCTCCCAACTCGGCTCGCTTTCCCAGCCTTTACCAAAGGGGCACCCGGCCAGCCATTCAGTGGACATAAAAAAGTGAGTTCAG